TTGGGTACGTGTAAATATTTTAAACCCAATGCATGGTGCCCAAGTGGGAAACACGTGGTATCGGACCGCATGCTGGGAGAACTGCCAATAAGGTGGACAGTCAGCGCTGCACAGCAATAGCGAAGTCATCAACATAGAGTGATGACCAAATTTTGGTGGAAGAAACAGAGGGCCAAATCTTTTTATTGCAAGGAGGATACAGTGTTGTGCTTAGAAAACATCTGAGGGACCCCTTCAGTCTTGGTCGAAGTCCGGGGAAAGAACATTATTGACTCGAACACGGAAATGTCGGTCAGTTAAATGTTCTTAAGGAAGGATGGTAGATTGCCTCGGTAGGCCTCAGGAAGGGGGCCTGGGCCAAATTATTTTACCTCCAAGTTGTGTCATATGCCTATCAAGGTCAATAAATATGGCAATAAACTGGTGATTATTCGCAAAGGCATTACGAACATACGTATCCCAAGAGTAGTAAGAGTCTATGGTAGAACGGACCCTTTCGGAAAGCCATTGACTAGCGGGGTGAGAATGTTGTGAGTCTCTAAATACCACATTAAACGTCGATTTACGAGGCGTTCCATCACTTTGCAAACTGCACTAGTAAGAGCGATGGGGCGATAGTGGGAGGCATCATGTCCTGTAGTACCCGGTTTGCGGAAAGGAGAGAACAATGGCAGATTTCCACAGCTGGGGAAGAACTCCTTGTGCCCAAATAAGATTGAAGAGGTGTAAGAGGACTACAAGGGCTGACCGATGTAAATGTTGTAACATACGAATATGAATGTCGTCAGGCCCAGCTGCCGATGATCGGCAAGCTGAGAGCGTTGCCTCCAGTTCTTGAAGTGTAAAAGGCACATTATACTGTTCTTCTCTGAGAGAAGAAAAGTCCAAGGGTACTAACTCTCTGGCAGACTTTGAGGAAAGAAACGAGGGGCATAGATGGAGCCCTCGGAAATACGGACCAGATGTGTGCCAAGTTCAATGGCAACGTCGAGAGGGTTTGCTACATCAACACCAGCGACCCGTAGAACAGGAGCCGGGTCAGGAGAGTATTTACCACTCAATTTCCTCACTTTTTTCCAGACTGCACTCATAGAAGAAGCAGAGGTGATGGTGGAAACATAGTCTCGCCAACAAGTGCGTTTAGCTTCACGGATGACACGGCGAGCGATCGCACGCTTCTGCTTAAAATCAAGAAGTCTCTCAGCGGTTCTATTGTACCGGTACCTGCCCCATGCAGCACGTTTCAAACGTACTGCACGAGCACAAGCAGGAGACCACCAAGGCACGCACTTCTGAGAATGCCTGCCTGAGGTTTGGGGTATAGAATGAGAAGCTGCGGTATAAACTGACGTCGAGAAGATGTGTAGGAGCTCATCAATGGAGGATGAAGAAGGAACCTCACTAAAAGCAGTGAGGTGTGAGTAAAGATCCCAATTTGCCCGATCAAATTGCCAGCGAGGGCTACGGAAAGGTGGTGAATAGGAAGGAGAAGTAAGAATGATCAGAAAATGATCGCTGTCATGTAAGTCTGGTAGAACAGACCAGGTGAAGTCTAGTGCAGTGGAGGAAGAGCAGACTGATAGATCGATGCAAGAGAGAGTATGAGTACGAGGATCAAAATGGGTGGGATACCCGTATTTAAAACATGGAGGGGGTGAGAGGCGAGAAAAGCCTCCAACTGGATGCCACGTGAGTCACAATGAGACCCCCCCCCAGAGGAAATGGTGGGCATTAAAATCACCAAGTAACAGAAGTGGTGGTGGTAAGGATGAAACAAAAGGCAAAGTCTGGGATAGAAAATGCTCGAGAAGGAGAGAGATATAAAGAACATATTGTAAACCACTTATTCAAGTGGATACGGGCTGCAGTGTAATGCAGCGAGTATGGACAAATAGTTGACAGTACGGAATATCATTGCGTAGAAGAAGGGCACTTTCATTAAAGGTCCCATCTGAGAAAGGATCCGAAGAATACAATAAATTAATAGCCTGAGATAGGTTGGAAACAGCCGAGTGTAATTTTGGTTCTTGTAAGCAAGCACCAACAGGGGAAAACTGGAAAGCAACATCTGAAGCTCACCCCGATTACCCCTGAGGCCGCGGATATTCCACTGTAAATAGGCCATGATTGGCGATGAAAAAATACCAGGAATCTGTAGGTAAAGGCACCTACGGACTAGAGGGGTTAGAAAAGTCCAACGTGTGGTGGCATTGGAAGACGTTCAAGTAGCGAAGGAATGGAGCGTTGCGAAGAATGGGGTTGTGAAGATGGAGGAGAGGGAAGAGAAGGAACAGGAAGTGAATCAGTGTCCATTGAGTTTAGTCTCTGCAATATATTCTGAAATGGCTTCAAGTGTTTCTGAATTCAAAGATTGATGGGAGACCATATTGGAGATAGAAGGAGGAGGGTGAGTAAAGATTGGGACAGTAATGGACTGTACCAAAGTAGAGGGGAGGGAAGAGTGTAAGGGACTGGAGATGAAGTGTGGGGGGGGGACAGAAGAGGCAAACCTGGGAGTGGCAGAAGAGGGAGAAACTTGGGAGGGGACGGGGGTGGAAGGGCATAGTACGAGGAGGAGGGTGAATCTCCACACTTGTAATAGAGCCAGAGAGAGGGGAAGAACTAGTACAGAGACTGGAAAGGTAAAGTGTGGAGGTGGAAGAAGGGAAGGAAGGGGCAAAGAAGATTTGAGCAATGTGGATTTTTGGACTTCTGAGTAGAGGGGGCAATTGGTATTAGGTGTCGTACGAGGTCTTGTCGATACTGGGGCTTGTGAGGAAGGACGCGAGATGTGGAGAAAACGCAGATATAGTCGGGACGTCAAAGCAAGGACAGCAAAGGATTAGATGCCCCGTGTGGCTATGGGAGGGGGTAACAACGAGGAGGCTGCGAAGATGGGACCCCAGAAGTGGGGGGCTCCAATGTTTGGAAACACGAGAATAAGAAAACAGGGGTCTAGTTCTCCCTGGAGGCGGAGATGAGTAACTGCCATAGCATGACGGGAGACCTTCTGCCTCTTTGAGGGGCACGGATTCAGTTCATTTAAGTAGGACCTGGCAACGGCGGGAGTTACGAAGGGTGAGCTTACATTACAAGTAAGACAAGATGGAGGTTGACTGCAAGATGTTTAGAATGGTCGTCGACACCACAGACTGGGCATTCGGCCATAGATCAGCAATATTCGCTGGGTGACCAAACGCCAGGAATTTTACATTGTTGCGGTGTAGGTATCACCTTTCGATCTGTAACGATGCCCGCGGACATATAAAGAGGACGGGAGTTCTGGCTGTCAAAAGTTAACGAGCCACATGCAAGGGTAACGCTCCGCCCCCCGGGCTGGAAGGAACAAAAGTGTCTACTTTGAGGACTTGGGAGATCTGGAGTTCACAGCTGTTGCAAAAAAATGTCATTGCCCACATGATGGAATTTCTGTTTGGACTATGGCTATGGGGCAGCATGACAGTACCACTACAAGAATTGAGAGAACAGATGTTCTTCAATAGTGGACAGGAGTAGGTATTGATATTCGAAAGGAGAGAAAGATCATGAGCCTTGGGCAAGCATTTGGACAGTGACGATGCACATACCGCTCTGAGAGCATGAAATGAATATCTCTACCAACATGACGCGGACGCTTTGCCAATACTATGGTCAGAAAGGTAGGCAGAAGAAGTCGGTCTTAAAGTAAAGAATTTAGTCCATTGTGTGGTCAGAAACAGAGCGTGGAGAGGGAGTGTTTGACGTGTCGGTCTTTTCCGAGTAGAATGGGAAGGTAACGAAGGAGCATCATCAGGAGATTGACGTTGGCGTTTAGGAGTAGGACCGGAGTTGGTCCGGCGTGAAATGGGCGGGCGATTCGAAAATTGCCGTACCATAGAGGGAGAAGCCGGAAGCATAGTCAAAGGAGAGCGGAGGTCAGACAAATCGAAGGAGTCAGTCAAAGCCCCGGTACCTGAAGCGGGTGAGGAAACAGCACCAGCAAGAGGTACAGGGGCATCAGGAGTGTCCGAAGAGTGGTCTAAACACAAGGCAGGGTCAGAATGGGGTGCGGTATCAAGAAGGGGCCCGGGGTAGTGGGTTCATGGATTGGGTTCTCCATGGTTAGGTTACTCCTTTGCTTTTTGTTTTTAAGAAAAAAAAAAGAAGAGAAGAGAAGAAAATAAAAATAAAAAAAAGAATAAAAAAGGGGGGAGCGGGGAGGAATAGTTCCCAGGAGGAATGAAAGGGCCGGAAATCTTCCTCCGCGCCCAAGAAGACCTCAGCACCGCTAGTAGCGCAGATGCAGCATGGAACCCGTGCCATACCCTACCCTTCATGCCAGTAAACCAGCAATCCGGGATAGCAACCTCACATCTGCCGAGCTACCTCGGTGGACAAAAGAGAGGGCGGCCGGATATCCGCCACAAAGCATACCTCCTTCGGCCACCACCCCTGGAATCCGAAAGGTGGCTTCCAGAGATACACCCATCGCCCGAAAGACACCCAAAGCTACTCCGGGATACCGGAGAGGGATCGGGACATCCCCAGGCAATCCAGATTCCATGGCAAACTACGCCACCGCCAAGAACCTCAACGGAATGGGATGGACCCCGGTGTCCTTTCCCCTACCTAGGAACTAGCGCGCCTGTGGGAGAAATCCAAAAGGCCAAAAAGTGGAAGGGCAAAAGGGAGGGGTGGGGAGGAGGAGGAGGAATGGAAAAAGGGGAGGATGGGATAGGGGAGGGGAGAATGGGGGGTAATTAGGTTCGGTCTGAGGAAGAAGACCGACAGGGCTAATTCCTCAGACCAAGAGCCTCTTCACCACGCCAAGCAGCCCCCCTTGAAGAGGCCTTTGCACACAAAACCCCTTTTACCCCCTTTCCTCCTCTTCAAAGTATCACTGGGGTCTCACAGTACCTGTAGCTCAGGGGCCTACAAAATATTAATCCAGCTCTGAGTACAAGCACTATGTTACTTTTCACCATCAGAACTCAAGCTAACAAAAGGTTATAAATAGAATAGCAATTTCCATGTTTATTTGTACAAACTATGTCAGGTCAAAGATATCCAGCATCAAGACTGGTTCAAAATACTTTGTCTCAATGTGTGAAAAGTGTCACCAGAAACAAAATAATATCACAGACTAAACAATTAGGTTGTGCCCCCAAGGAACTGCGCTCATTTTGCTACTTCGACTATTGTATCACATGGCCAGAATACACATTAAAAAAATATATCAAAGCTATAATGATAAACTGTACTTATTATGGTAACAGTTAAATAAAAAAATCACACTTGACACGTGTCAATAGGGGATCTGAGTCTTAGGCCCTAAGGGAGACAACCTCTTCAACCAACTGACACTGGACATGGGTGACACGCGACACACGGGGCAATACTACGCTCGGAGCCTCGTGACTCCACAATTTTTCCTCCTCTTGAAAAAAATGAATCCCAAACTATGGGAAGTGAATTTGTACACAAACCTATTTTATCAAACACTGATAAAGTCAACATAAAAACATTTTGTACAATAAATTAAATATATTACTGTTTAAGTAAGGTGTACAGTAACGCCCTCTATCATCGTCCTAAGGTCAAACAAAATATTTTTACACGCACACAAAACACGTAAAATACCCACCTAAAATGAATAATATAAATAAAAATTTACTATGTACAATAATTTCAAGACTTTAGGAATTTACAAACACTATGCTATATTAAAACAAAAATAAAGCAGCCAAAATTGAACACTAATGTACATATTGTTCAAAATGTACAATAATTATATTTTTGCCCATAAGGATCATATAATATTAGTGAATAACCAAACTATTCAGCTATTTCAGAAGCCTCTTGTTCAACTTGTTCATATTAAAAATGCTTAGCTGGGTTTTCCATATCGTAAAAAGTACTATGGACTGAAATTGCCCAATTTTTCAACATCACCTCAAAAATGCAAAACATACGCCATGTCAATATAAATTAGGCTATTGTAAAAAGCTTCACTTGTAAAAAAAAAACCAATGCTTTTGTTCATAACACACAATGTGCACGCACATGTGCATACACAAACATTATGTGTGCATGTACATTGTGTGAGCACGTACATCATACACAAAGATTGTGTGTGCACATACATTATGTGAGCATGTACATCATACACATACATTGTGTGCACATACATTGTGTGAGCACGTACATCATACACATACATAGTGTGAGCACGTACATCATACACATACATTGTGTGAGCACGTACATCATACACATACATTATGTACATCGCACATACATTACATGCGGTACGTGACCCATAGGAGGCATTCACATTTGATCCCAAGACAAGTCCATTTCCTTGGATCACGAGCCCGTAAATGGCATCAAGGCACCTCCTATGAGAGGTAATCTTTCTATAAAAAAGTACAACAAAATAGACCTCAGTAAAGTACGTTGCAATCAACTGCAAAGAAAGATGACTGAGGGAACCCAATGCAACAAGTAACTATAGACACAAGTCAATATTATACATAAAAATCATCCATATCTACACATCGTGTGTGTATTCTTGCTTAATTTATACAATTAACTCAATTTGTGCAAGAGATTGATTACAAAATTTGTGAAATGTTGGTGTAAATAAAACTGCTATACACATGTTATTAGAGAAACAGGACAAACACAATGAAAAAGATATTTCAACAGTAATTTCTTGTTTTTTTTTTTTTTTCAACAAGTCGGCCGTCTCCCACCGAGGCAGGGTGTAAACTAATATAAATGCAAAATGAAAGTAGATTTTTCTTTGAAAATACTCTACTTTGACAATACTTTACTGAAGAAAAGACTTTACTTTGAAGACTTTACTGCAGAAAAATCTTGGGTATGAGACTGTAACTAACAGCATGTGTATACAGATGTTAAAATTATCTTGTTTATTAACTTGCCTTTCCGGTGTCTGTAGTCAGTGGTTTTGTACTGTATGGCAAACAGAATCAGAAATATATAATATTTCTTAACCTGCCACACTCAAAATGTACGTCGTTTGGAAAGCATGAAAACACCATTGTGGCGCCAGAGTATAAATTACCGTAGCGCCCACTATGTATCCGTCAATAACACTGGGTCGTTTGTACAAAAATACATGACAAACAATACATTGACATCTTCAGAACTTGCAACAATTTGCTTATAAAAGCTATTTTGATCTTGTAATTAAAATATGCAAGAGTTGTCATATACTTTTTTAAAAAGTACAAAATCCAAAGGGGTCATAGGTACAGTAGTGTTAAGCATGGACCCACTAAATGAGTGGCCAAGATAATGTGAGCTACAAGACTATAGCTTGAGTGGTTTCCATGAATAAGGGATAAAAAACTAATGAGAGAGTTGCAATCCTGATGGTCAAAATTGCAATCGAGTTATTTGTGACACAGAACATATTTTTCCCATAAAAAAACATTACAAAGGCTGCTTATGATCCTCATGTTTATAAGTGTGAATAGGCAGTAGTACAAATCTAATTTGTTTCTCAGTGCCCCATTAGTATTTGTGAATATTTATAACTCCGGGCATTTGCAAGTTGGGGTCTTCCCATGTGTGTGCCAAGGAATAATTACTGTATTTTCTGGTATATACGGCTCGTTTTTTTTCCCTCCCCCCCCCCCTCACAGAAAGTCTAGGAAAATCAGCCTGAGTCTTATATATACCTAGGGTCAAGGGTAGGCTTTGTGTTATGCATTAGCAGTTGTTTACTAACGTTATGTTACAAATGCTTGGAACATGGCGCCAGCAAGCAACCTACACTTGTGCACCTTATATGCCAGAAAATACATTAAGTATCTGGAGAATTCCTTTTTTTTTATGGAATGCTACAAAGTTGAACTACTGCATCTCATTTAACCTACTCATCTGCTAGGATACTATTCCCCGGAATCTAGGGAAACTACTTGCATACAGATCATCTGCTCTTTCACACATTTCAACAGTCTCATCAAGTATGCCATCAACATGGTAATTTATTTTAACCTGCAATACTGACACATCACACTCATTTTTCCTGGAAGAAGAGCCAGTAAACACCAACTCTCTCTACCTGATAAAGGGTGTATTTATAGGTGCTCCTCGACTTGTGACGATGCTAAAGCAATTACTTTACGGTGAAACTTAAGAAAATTATCCAGCATGACGGGAAGTCCATAACTTGTATTCATTTGCTTTTCAATACCGGTATTTAGTTATAGTAATTATTTGTTTATTGACTTATTTAGTGACAGTATTTATTTACTTACTTATTCACCACATCGCATTCATATTTGACTTACAATGGGTTTGTTGGAATGTAACCCCATTGTAAGTCAAGGAGCATCTGTACACTGAGCTTCTTAGAATTAAATGCTTAAGGATACAGTAAATGGCTAAGCGTGCTCACAAAACGCTTCAATGGTTTAAAAATCATAAGGCAATACTTGTTAAAGTATGAGACTCAATTATGGTCACTGCTGTATAGCTACAGTGTTTGCTGTGTATATGGTCATTATCAAAGTTATTACAATGCTGTTTTTGAGAAAACATTAAGCCTAAGTTACCTGTTGTAAACTACAGGTATACCAAATCTATGTTTTAAGACTGCGTCAAATTCTGGTATAGTCTCTTGCCCCACCAGGCCTCCAGGTCAAATGGTTTAAAATCTGCAACAAATTAAAAGGCCACATCAGCATGTACAAATAAATAACATGTATATTATACAACACTTCTGACACCTTTTCAAAATACAGCCTCTCCTCACTTAATGATGGAGTTCCATGCCTAAGACCACACTGGCAATGAATTCATCGCTAAGCAAGGAGAATACTACTATAATGGTAGTGGGTTTGTCAGCCATCTTTGATATTTTTAATGTCACTTTTGCACCATTTATAACATTTCTGGTATTTTTTTTAATTTTTATACAGTAGTGTACTGTATATTGTAATAAACAGAATAGAGAAAATCAGCTCTAATATACACTATTTAGGTATGCATACTGGTCAGAGAGCCCATTGTAAGTCCGAGTCGTCGGTAAACAAGTATGTCGCTAAGTGAAGAGAGGCTGTACACTAATACAGATGTGGTTTAAAACTGCAACAAACTGACTCACGAAATCGTAATGGCACGATTGCAAACAAACCATACCAGTGGCTAATGCGACGGTCTGGAGTTTTGAGACTCTCTGACCGTGGGTTCAATCCCGCCCGTGGTATGGTTTGTTTGCAATCGTGTCGTTATGATTTCGCGAGTCATGTTGACAGCATTGAGGGGACTTGAGCTAGAGTTCGTCACAGCCACGCTAGTTGGAGATTCGTCTGTAAAAACTTGCATTTGTGGTCACAGTGGTGCCTATGCTAACCTTCCTATGGTGTAGAAATATACCTAGTTGGACGAATCTTATTGTGGCTAGCTGGTCCAGTGGCTAACGTGACGGTTTGGAGTTCTGAGACTCTCTGACCGCGGGTTCAATCCCGCCCGTGGTATGGTCTGCAACAAATTAAAAGGCCACATCCATATATACAAATAAATAACTTCTGTATCATACAACACTTCTGACACTTTTTCAAAATACACTAATACAGACTATACTTCTTAATATTACTCTATTTTCTTGCTTATCAGGTTTCTGGGACCCCACAAGCTCATGGAGTGTGAGTGAGGTAACATTTTGTGAAGGAATTCAGGGAGACCAGTTAGCCAGACTGGGATGAGGCAGATACATACCTTGTAGTGCTGGGTGTTCACTGTTTTCCTGATAATACGCAATCCCACTCCCTGCAAATAGAAAAAAATAACAGTTACAGAGGTAATAAGCTCGGGTTCATTATCACTTAAGTCTCGATTAGTCAATGATTAATGACATTTACAGACATTCTGCTTCATGTGGGTCATTAAGGCTGGTTGGTTAACAGGGTTTAAAGTCTATCTACTATGCAAGGGTTATTAAGGCTGGATGGTGGATTAATGGAGTTTAAAGTCTATCTACTACATGAGGGTTGGTCATTATGCTAAGCTGGTTGATTGGTTAATGGGGTTTAAAGCGTAATTTACTATACAAGGGTCATTAAGACTGGCTGGGGGGTTAATGGGATTTAAAGTGCAATTTGCTACACAAGGGTCATTAAGACTGGTTGCTTGGTTAATGGAGTGTAAAGTGTAATCTACTACACGAAGGTCATTAACAATCAGTCTCTCAGCCTTGGCTGAGGGACTGATCGAACTGAAGAAGCCGCTGGCTGGGGGACTGATCGAACTGAAGAAGCCGCTGGCTGGGGACTGACGAACTGAAGAAGCCGCAGCTGAGGGACTGATTGAACTTGAAGAAGCCGCTGGCTGGGGGACTGATCGAACTGAGGAAGCCGCTGGCTGAGGGACTGATCGAACTGAAGAAGCCGCTGGCTGGCAAAACATTTCCAGAATAAAGATTCCCAAATGTTGCACAAATGTCTTATCAACTTGGTTTTATAAACCATTTATACATAGTATATCTGTGTATGATTCCAGTCATGGTATTGTGCCTTTTTTCTTCATAAAAATATATACACCTACCATCCGACTTACGACTGAGTTCAGTTCCGAGAAGCCGGTCGTAAGTTGAAATGGTCATAAGTCGAACTTTACTACTGAATATCAACAAAACATTTTTGTAATGACTATTTTATTGTTTTATTTTGGTATTTCATGTTTTACTTTACTTTTTATGTTGTTAGTACTGTATTTTATACTGTAAGGTTTAGGATAAACACTGTGTACAACACAAATACTTGTTTATTTCCCAGAAATTTGGCATAAAAAACACGGTCGTAAGTCGAGTGGTCATAAGTCGAGCAGGTCGTAAGTCGAGCAGGTCGTAAGTCGAGCAGGTCGTAAGTCGGATGGTAGGTGTACCTGGAAAGTACTTGAGGGTCGTATCCTGAATCTGCACACTACTGTAACACTGGAGTGAGAGATATGAAAGGAGATACAAAATGAACCCAGTGATAAGCAGGGGTGACATGGGCACAATAAGGAAACACTGTATCAACATCTGTGGTCCCAGACTATTCAACATCTTAGCAGAATACAGTGGTACCTCGGGATACGAACTTAATTCGTTCCACAAGGCTGTTCCTGTGCTGATACCGAACAAATTTATTCCCATAAGGGATAATGTAAATTAGATAAATCTGTTCCAGACCCCCAAAAATGCACTTACAAAAGCACTTACACAAATACACTTGCATTATTGGTCGAGTTTTGAGCTGTTCATACCCCGAGGTACCACTGTATGTCAGAAAAACTGCTGGAACAATTACAGAAGTCTTCAAGAGGAAACTGGACAAGTATCTTCACCAGGTGCCAGATCAACCAGGCTATGATGGATATGTGGGTCAGTGAACCATCAGCAGCAACAGCCTGGTTGACCAGGCAAGCACCAGACAAGCCTGGACCAGGACCACCAGCAGCAGCAGCCTGGTTGACCAGGCAAGCACCAAACAAGCCTGGTCCAAGACCAGGCTCTCACAACTCATCAAAGGTAAAACTAACGCTGACACAATCTACAAATCTAATCACAAAGTAAATCTTTCCCACTTAAAAAAAACACTTATTGCCAATCTTCTTTTATCTACTTTCTCTTATGTTACTACATAAACTGATTATTTCTTTATGAATTGCCAATAACAGATTATGTTGTCAGGATGTACAGTGGACCCCCGGTTTACGATATTATTTCATTCCAGAAGTATGTTCGGGTGCCAGTACTGACCGAATTTGTTCCCATAAGGAATATTGTGAATTAGATTAGTCCATTTCAGACCCCTAAACATACATATGCAAACGCACTTACATAAATACACTTACATAATTGGTCGCATTGGGAGCTGATCGTAAACCGGGGTCCACTTTATTATAGTTTTCTTTAAATAATAAACTAGACACTGCCATACTTTCACTATACAGTGGACCCCCGCCTTACCATCACCTCCCAACTCGACCAATATTCCTTATGGGAACAAATTCGGGTCGGTAACGACACCTGAACAGACCTCCGCCTTACCATCAGCTCCAACTCGACCAATTATGTAAGTGTTTTTGCAAGTGCTTTTGTACGTGTATTTTTGGGGTCTGAAATGGACTAATCTAATTCACAATATTCCTTATGAACAAATTCGTCGGTAACGACACCTGAACAGACCTCTGAATGAAATAATTCGTTAAGGCGGGGCCACTGTACTTGTATTAGTAACTAATAACTACAGGATGACCATCACTAATCCGGCATCATTGGGATCATTAAATTCCTTAAGAAATTCACATGCTGGTATGTCAGAGTGAACTGCACTCAATAAGTGCCTCATAAAATGGGTGAAATACTTATGTTAGCTGAAATTAGTGCTGGATTAGTGATGGAACCGGATTAGTGACTTGCTGGATCAGTAATGACTGACCTGCTACTACAACTACTACTGCTACTACAACAACTACTACTGCTACTACAACTACTACTGCTACTACAACTACTACTACAACTACTACTACTACAACTACTACAATATTACTTCTCCCTCTTCCTGTTCTACCTCTCCTGTACCCTGCCCACTCTCTTACATAATATGGCTCCCTTCCCTACGCACTTGTGTTTGATTACGTAACCCTTAAACTGCCACACAGGTTGATCAACATGTGTGCATGTACTGCCACACACACACAGATTAATGTTAATTATAGGTTTCCAATATTCACCAACATCTCTACCTCATTCTGCCCATAACTGGTTTCCCTAAAACTCAAAATGTCGCTGAACTGATAATTCTTCCTGCTCAATTCTATTGTATCATATTTTATTGATTTCCCACATAATCCCACACCACTAACTCCCTCAAAATGGCTACGATTGGGAATGTCAGGCCTACATGGGATAAAGTAAGCCTGTGACACCAGTGTGAGCACCAATAAAAAATTCCTCCGCCACACTGGGCATTATGGCAACAGTTTGCTTTAAGGTATTATATCATTCTACCTGTGTTTTGTTTAAAACACAGGTAGAAACAAGGATAAGTATTTAGTAAAACAAAATAATTTCCATAAATATTTGGGCATCAGAACACAATTTCAGTTTACCCTACTTGACAGTTTGTGTGTTAATGGACTCGTGGATACGGCGGTCCTACTGTATACTATTAACTACATTAACTACAAAATATACATTACGTGAACATTAATTTCAAGTCTTACCTCTGGGGTCATGGCCATTCTGTCTTCCCATCTCCAGCTCTTTACATACTCTGCCCCAGGCTGGAAAAAATATCTTACATAAGATTCATCGTGAATACCAGTTTTAAGCAAATAAACAGAATCATTGCAATGGCTATTTGATATACGAAAAGATATGTCTGTGCCTTTTACATTCATGATCATACACAAATAACCTGCATTCAGGAAAACGTATGACGATTCAGTTTGACTTAGACCATTAACTAGTCCAAGTCGGACCAAAATACTTCCATGTTTCCTTGTTCTTATGTTTGTGTTTCTTTTCATTCTTTATCCATAATTATGTACATCTCTTATTATAATGGTATATAATGGACCAACAGGACGTCTTAACCCGTAAACGGTCCAAACGTATACAGTGGACCCCCCGCATAACGATTACCTCCGAATGCGACCAATTATGTAAGTGTATTTATGTAAGTGCGTTTGTACGTGTATGTTTGGGGGTCTGAAATGGACTAATCTACTTCACAATATTCCTTACGGGAATAAATTCGGTCAGTACTGGCACCTGAACATACTTATGGAGTGAAAAAATATCGTTAACCGGGGGTCCACTGTATATACGTTTTTTCAACATTTGAAAGTATGTAAAAAAAGTAGATCATCTTTTTGTTTTTTTACATTTGAAAATGTGTAAAAAAAACTTAGATCTACTTTTGTAGCGCTACACATGTGAACGTAGATCTGCTTGGACCGTTTACGGGTTAAAGACCAGAAAGTGTCTCGGAAATGGTATAATCAAGTTAAATCTGAGGAAGTTGAGGATTGCTCCAATTCCTTGGATCATTCATGAAGGCACCCTCCCACAATCCTTTCCCTCATGGTTTTACATATAAACATACAAATGAACACTGCAGCAGGTCTACCAGCCCATGCTAGACAGGTTCAATTCACATACCTGTTCAACCTATATTCAAAGTTTCCCAACCTTCTCCCGACAATGACAATTCCTGGCAGTTTGTGCCACTCATTTACAACTCTATTGCTAAACCACTGCTTCCCTACATACTTTCTAAATTTACATTCATCCAACTTGAATTTACTGCTGTGAGTCTGGTCTTAGAAACTTTACCTACCCGGAGGGGGTTTCAGGGGTCAATGCCCCCCACAGCCCGGTCCATGATTGGGCCTAGTGGTGGATTAAGGTCTGATCAAAGAGGTTGTTACTGCTGGATGCATGCATTCCAACATACGAACCACAGCCTGCCTGGTCAGGTACTGACTTTAGGTGTCTGTCCAGCTCCCTCTTGAAGACAGCCAGGGGTCCACTGGTAATCCCATTCATGTATGCTAGGAGACAGATGAACAGTCTTGGGCCCCTGACATTTGTTGTGTTATCTCTTAGTGTACTCATGACACCCTTGCTTTTCACTGGGAGGATGTTGCATCTCCTCCCCCATCTTGATTTCATAAGGAGTGATTTCCATGTGCAAATTTGGGACTAGTACCTCTAGGATTTTCCAGGTGTAAATTATGATGTATCTTTCTCGCCTGCATTCCAAGGGATTTCAACCGTTCCCAGTAACTGAGGTGTTTTATTGTACTTATACGTGTCATAAAAGTTCTCTGTGCATTCTCCAGGTCAGCAGTTTCGCCAGCCTTGTAAGGGGCTATTAGTGCACAGCAATATTCCAGCCTAGGAAGAACAAGTGATCTGACGAGAATCAACATGGGTTTGGCATCCCTAGTTTTGAAGGTTTCTATTATCTATAATTTTCTTCACAGAAGCGATAAGAGACATTAATGTCATCTCTGAAAGTTACAGTTTTTTATACTCCTTTAATTTATTACAGTTTTCTATTTGTACACTTCACCTGGTCACAGACCGGGCCACGGGGGCGTTGACCCCCGGAACTCTCTCCAGGTAAACTCCAGGTAAATATACCTCCCCCCCATTCAGGGCCGGATTACCGCATAGGCAAACTAGGCATTTGCCTAGGGCCCCGCGCATTTGGGGGCACCGCGGTCCAAGGGGTTCAGGGGCTCATCCAAGACTGCGCACATGGTGCAAGTGCAAAGGGGTCCCTACCTAAAAAGTTCAAGTGTTTGGAGAGTAAAATTGATTTTTAAAAATTAATCAAAACAAAAATAAATAATGAAATAAAATAAAATAAAAATAAATAAACCTAACCATAGATGGCAACACTCAACACGCCTTTGTTTACATCAGAACAGCTGTGTTTTCCCGCTAATGGGTGAGTATGGGAGATTCCTCTCCAATTTTCTGTAGTAATTACACGTTATCTAGACTTGTACTGTGACAAATTAACTGAAGTGTTGTTGATAGACATTGATGTGTATGGATAAATGTTTGTTTTCGCCTCTAAATGTTAAGGGAGGTACCTGATAGGGTTAATTGACCAGTAAAGACGCATTTTTGGTAAAAATACTATAAAGAAAAACCTAAAAACGCAAACTGACTTCCGTTTGTAGGTTTTAAAAGCACTTTGTCCTGTCTTTAAGTCTTTATCATTTCAGTAACAGATCTCAATTGACTGATGTTCTACATCACTTCCGTCGCAAATGCTTAGTTTTCAAGTTGCGACGGAAGTGATGTAGAACATCAATTAATTTACTACATATTTCCCCAGAAACACATAAGCCACATCAGAAAATCGTTGGTTGGGTGAAACTGAAAATTGTCTCTGCAGAAAATTGAAATTGAAATGGCTACTTGTGCTAACCTCTATGCAGGTTTAGTGGAATTTGTAAGCTCACTTCGCAATGATGAAGCTTTTGAAATGTTTGAAGAGAAAGCTAAACTGCTGGTGAAAGACTACAGTTACCGGGCTGATCATCAGCGGTCAAGGAAGAGGAAACGCAATTTTGAAGAGCCAGACAATGAAATTGTGTTGCTACAAAGGCAGAAATGTAAGACAGCTACATACTTCGGCATTCTGGATTCACTGATTACAGAATTGGTGAAAAGAAAAGAAATCTACCAGAATCTCAATGACAAGTTTGGATTTCTGTTCAAAATTACTACTATGCCAGATGCAGAATTGAGAGAAGCTGCATTAAAGTTGCAACAACACCTTTCAGCAGATGTTCAGGACACATTTGTTGAAGAAATAGTTCATTTTTCTGGGTATATGAATCAGATTAAAGCTCCATCTGAAAAATGTGTGCCCTCAGCTGCTTTGAAACATTTAAGAAATGCAGGTATCTCAGAAACCTTCCCTAATGTTGACATAGTGTATCGCCTTTACCTAACACTTCCAGCTACTAACTGTGAAGGAGAACGTTCATTTTCTGTTTTGAAAAGAGTGAAAAACCAGCTCCGTTCAACAATGAGCCAAGACAAATTGTGTAACCTAGCCTTGTTGACCATTGAGTCTGATCTAACAAGAAATATTGATTTTCAGAATATAATTGATGATTTTGCCAATATGAAATCCAGAAAAAAGTTTATTTAAGAAGTGCCTGTGAATATAAACAATTCTTTACTTTCTTGAGTTTATATGATTTGATAGTCTTATGCATGATGCAATGATAATAATGGTCAGTGATTTATAAAGGGAATAATAGTGCTGTAGTGGTTATGCTGAATATAATAGGTACATGATGTCACTACTTTAATAGCCTAATCTAGTAATACTATGCTGTCTTGAGTTTATTCTCTTTAAAATGCATGATTTAACAAGATAGTTATAATGGCTGTTGGTAAATGGTTTTGGTTGTCTTGATGTACTTTCTCTATTAAATTTAATCTAAATAGCCTGAATGTATTTAATTAGACCTTAAACAGGCTCACACCGACCCCCCCCCCCCCACCCCCAAGCTGGAAGGGGTCACTTCATTTACCCGTAACTCAAAGGGGCCCCGCCAATCTAAATATTATTATTATTATAATCAAGGGGGAAGCGCTAAACCCGGAGGATTATACAGCGCCTGGGGGGGGGATGTGGAAGGCATTCAGGCTTAATTCGGGGAACTGGAGCACAGATCCAATTCCCTAAATCAAGAGCCCCTCACCAACATCAAGGAACCTTCCTTGAGGGGGCCAATCTGAATAGCCTAGGGCCCGAAGACTTCTTAATCTGGCCCTGCCCCCATTACATGTCTTTCCTGAGTGTAGACTTGGAATTAAGTCCGACTGACTGTAAGAGTGAGTCAGTCTTAGTATTAACGTACGGAGGACTGAGCCTTCATTACTACTTGTACTGGATGATCCACATGGGTTTAGTGTTTCATACAGATACAATAATATATATTTCCCAAAGTGGGAGCAAGGGGCTAGTAACCTCTTCTCCTGTATATACTACTAAATGTAAAAGGAGAAACTTTCGTTTTTCCATTAGGGTCACCCTGCCTCGGTGGGATACGGCCGGTTTGTTGAAAGAAAGAAAAGATTTCCCAGAGTTCAAATTCTGTGCCTTCAGTATATCGTCCCAGGAAAGATTTCTGATACTAGGGACCAGCTTCACTGTTTTATGTACATTTTCCATCGCCTTTGTGTGTATTCTGTGACAGACCAATAGTGGGAGCGAGAACTAGACAAATATTCCAAGTTGAAGTACTGTATATACCCAAGATTTACATTTTTATACTTCCTGATATAAATCTAAGAATCATTTTATCTTCTCGTAAATTCTTGTGGCTCGTACATTGGGCTGCGTGCGGACAGCAGTAACAGCCTGGTTGCTCAGGCCCTGATCCACCAGGAGACCTGGTTGTGAACCGGGCCGCGGGGGCGTTGATCCCCAGAATACCCTCCAGGTAGATAGATACAAGGTATAAGTCACTTCGACTATTTTTGGATTATCCTAGATAATTTACACATATATTAACATGCACGATAATTGTAATCAGCTGAAATGTACTTGTGTGTAATGGCTTAACCGATAAATACACATTATCCATAATTTATCTGATACAATGTTTATACAGTGAAACGTGTATATAAAGTAATATATTATGTAGAGTGGTCGTAATAAGGGCACGAGATGCGCTGGTGATGCTGATATGTGAGGCAAGTTACACCATGAGCCGGCAAGGTTGGCCAACAGCCAATAAGA